CGTGGGGCTGCGGCAGCGCTGCCTCCTGCGCCAGTGTTGCAACCACCCGCGTGGGTCTGATGCCATCTGATGGACAGAGCAAACGTGGGCAGAGGGCTTGCTGCGGAACCCGAGTGCCTTTGCCGGGAGGATTTAGAAGCCTGGTAGTATTTGGGATAAGACTTACTTGTTTTTCTGAAAGTACCAGTTATCCTGTGGGTCAAAGCAAATTGCTACCTCTTGGAGAAAATCCATTTTCATGTAAAAGAGCAGAAAAGGTGTCTCTGGAGATCTCGTGCCCTGGGTGTCTGTGTGTGTGGCTTGTTACTCCGTGCGTGCAGAGCAGGCAATGAGGAGAGGGATTACATTTAAAACTGCCAAACAGCAGTGTGTTTCCCTAACTGTGTGCTGTTCTTAACCTGGTGTATAGCTCACAAAATGAGCACAGGTTGCCACTAAGCTGCTTTGGACTTTGCTCAGTAGCTAAAAAAATAAAAGATATTTTTGCATCTTTGTTACTAATGGTAAGATAGTCGTTGCCTCTCCCTGAAATGTGGGGGCTCTTTGTCACAGTTGGATTAGAGTAAAGCAAAGCCAGGTGTAAAATGTTGCTTACTTGAGAGTTTTGCAGCTGCTGCTCTGTTTGGAGTTTGTCCTCCAGCATCTTCTGAAGAGCCTCTTTTGCCTTCTGCTCATAGGTCTGCTTCTGGTCCTCCATCTCGATCAGGATCTTCTTCACACACTCCTTTGAGTAACTCTTTAAAGGAAGAATTAAAGCGCTTGAAGGGTCTTTTCTGACATATTCCTAATCTTGCTAAGCCTGAATATTAGCAAATCCAGAGCATGTAAGTGCTACTGCTAATTTGCTGTGAAGCATTGCTTCAGCAAAGAAGAAATATCATTTTCAGATCCACATCTAATCAGATTGCTCCAGAAACTGAGACCTGACCTAATTACATGGTTTGGTATTTTGTTTTCATGCCTTTCTTCACCTGTGTTTGGTTCTTGGCAATTGGACGTTACCTGGGTGCAGGCCTGCAGCTGATTTTCAAGTGCCCTTAGTTTACACTTCAGTTTATCTTCATTCAGCTGACCCTGGGGGAAAAAAACAATTGAATTGATGTGTGGAATCATGAACTATACAACATGCCCCTAATGTTTTGTTAGCTTGTGTTTTGATTCGCTTTCTCCCTTTTCTTCATCTGTAGTGTTGTGGCTAAATTTAGTCAAAGTCTTCTCAATGCTCAGCGTTCAAATAAGCCCTTCATGATCTCGGAATAAATGGGATATGGGGAAGTAAGACTTTTGTGCGTTGAAAAACTCTTTGCGAGGCAGTTCCACTGGTTACTGAGCGCAGGTGCTTGCAGTGAGCTGAGAAGTTGAGAGCGAGGGGATTTCTGGTTAGTCTGGACGGGTCTGGCAGCAGCCTAGCTGCGCCCGTCGCCGCGTACGGCCCCGTTCCCTGCCTGACGACTCCTCCCTGCAATGCTCCTTGCTGGAAGCCCCGGCTGCTGCTAAGGTCTTGTCTTGCTGGTTCCCGTAGGAAATAGGTTGGGTCTGCCTTGCAACATCTAGCAGTTGGGCAAGGGGATAGAGGGCAACAGTGATGATCGATTTTTTGGGGGGTTTGTTTTTTTTTTCTTTATTATAAACTCCCCTCAGTGTTAGTCAGGCTTCTTAGGGTTTGTGAAACCAGACTGCATGCAAATTCAGATCAAATTTTAGCAAAGAGTTCACGTAGGCTGTTTCTCCACCAGCAATACTGAGAACACCAGTATCCTCTCTGCTTACTGTTGTTTGAAGTCAAGCCTCTGAAAAACTCCTTGATGTTACAGGAATAGCTGTTAGACCCAAGCAAAGCCAGATTCTCTGATGTCTTAGCACTGTTTAAATTTGCACAAAAGTAAGTTTACAGTCCCAAAGAATAAATCTTCCCTGTTCAGTTGTTGGTAGAAAGTACTAATGGCTCTGTCCTCTTAGAAAGTAGGTGGAATTTTGACAAGCATTTTTAGATGTGAAATATTATGCCTCATTTCCCTCTGCAGTTTATTTTATCCTGCTGCCTGCAAAGGCTCACGTTAGAGGGTGGTGGTGTTATGGCCGTTGTGCACAGATGTAAATGACTGTGCAAAGTATGAGGCAACAGAGCGCTGGGCCCTTCCTATGCTTGAGAGCAGAAATGTGCTGGCAAACTCCTTTCACGGAGATGCAGCTTATAAATTGGCAAAAGAACATAGAGGATAAAGACTTCTCTAAATGGAATAAACTGCCTGTCAGGTCTGTTACCAGAGCGGCGTGGCAGCGAGGGGTGAGCGAGTATGTGCACGTACATGGGAAGGCGTAAGAAATTATGCTTCTGACCAGAAAAGCTATGTGAGCAAATCTTGGTCAAGCCCTTGTGTTGAAGATTATCTACATGAAAGGGGCTGCTTAAAAAAAAAAAAAAAAACCCAACCCCCCAAAAACCCAAAACAACCCCTGAAAACCAACCAAACAAAACCCCCACCCACAACTAAACAAAACAACAACAAAACCTCCCGACAGCCACCGTGATCAGGTGGTGGTGGTGGTTTTTCTCTCCTCTGCAGTGTCTCGGTGTCCCTGTTTGAACACCACTTGGGGATCCTTGCACCGCGCCTCGCTAGAGAGCCCCGTGACACCTACTGAAAGCCGGGCAGAGGAAAGGATTATGGCTAATGTGTTCAAAATATGCCCACTCTTGCAAATACGGGATGCAAATCCTCTGTAGCCCTCGTCTTCAGAGAGTCTGAGGTTACCTGAATGGGCAGCTCCAAACCCTTTCTTCAACTCTTCTGCATTTCTCTACCCCTGTCACTTAAGTGCCGTATAAGCGTGTTAAACTGTTTTTGGCTGGCAGCTGTAGTGTCTTGGTTGTCCTATGACTGGTGAATTCTCTGATAATACTTCCCTCAGTAATTTTAAGTAGCTGGTTTAAAGCAACAATAAGTGCTGTTTCTGGAAGGCTTCAGTTTGCCCAAATACGATGCTTGTGCTAGAAAAATGGGTCAATAAATTATTACTAATGCACTGGAAATGGCAAAGAGCTTAAACTCTGCAGAGGTGCAGGGTACCCCCAAAAGTCAGGTTCAACTTCAGAGGTTGGGAAGGGAAGAAAATGTAATGAAGTAGTAATTTTCTTCTTAAGAGAACAGTTCAGAACTAATTACTCTTAATTATAACTGAGATTTACTTATGCTGCCCGATGAAGGAAGCTTTATGAGTCAACAAAGTGAATTTTACAAGAGATGGGGGATTTAAGGTCCGGACCGGTGGTAGGAAGGTCTCTTTAACCTAGAAGTAAAATCATGGGAGGGGGAAGGAACCAAAGACTTTATCCCTTTGGTTTTAGCTACACCCCATCCTCCTGCAAAGTATTTGCTTGCTCCATCAAACCAGAAGCACCCACGAACACGAGCAGCATCTCAAAAAAATGACTCTGTGGCCATCTCACAAGTCGCTGCCAGATCATTCACGAGTATGCAATTGCATTTCTTTTGAAACCCAAAATATCGGGAAGGATTAAAAAGCTTCTGCAGCAAGCGTTTGGAATCTCACCTGGGCCTGCAAAGGGGCAACCAACCACCAGTTTCCATGGCAGAGCATTATTGCATGGGGCCTGTCCATCCATCCCTTTGCCAGCACCTCCTGGAGAAGCCCCCCGCGCAGCTCCCGGGGATCCCCACCAAGCAGGCAGCATCTGCCTTGTTTGCCCCGCTGGCTCCGGTGCCAGGGGCGAGTTAATTTTTAGTCCGATGAAAGGCTGAATGCGAGAGGCAGCAGCAGCAAAGCCTCTCTTCTGCAGCAGAGATAGCAAGAAGCAAAGTGCACCCACCTGTTTCTAATCTGAGGTTTCATGGCTACTTCCTGCAGAGTGTGTCAGAGTGTTTTTTCCTGCTCATATTTGAAGAAGCAAGCGAAGGCGGAAGCTTCTAACCGCAGCACATCTAACACAAGCTTTTTTTTAGTACCATCTCACCCAATCGCTCACTTTTCTGCCCAACAGAACTTTCAAACCACTTTTTTTTTAACGGCACAAGGAACTGTAAATTAATATTTGATTTAATAATCCTGTATAAAACACTCCGTATGTTGCATAAAATGCATCGCCTCAACTTTACCTCCTGATAGCAAAAAAAAATGGTCACTGGAGGATT